CTGTAGACATCTACTAGGTCCACTTGATCTATTGCATATTTTAGATCTTGGATTTCTTTATTGAGTTTTTGTTTGGATGACCTATCTATTGATGATAATGGAGTGTTAAAGTCTCCCACAACCACTGTGTTGGCGTTTATATATGCTTTTAGGTCTTTCAGGGTATGTTTGATGAAATTGGGTGCGTTGACATTGGGTGCGTACAGATTGATGATTATTATTTCCTTTTGGTCTATTTCCCCTTTTATTAGTATGGAATGTCCTTCTTTATCTCGTTTGATCAATGTAGGTTTGAAGTCTACTTTGTCAGAGATAAGTATTGCTACTCCTGCTTGTTTTCGGGGCCATTGGCTTGGTAAATCTTCTTCCAGCCTTTCATCCTAAGCATATGCTTATTTCTGTCGGTGAGATGAGTCTCCTGTAAGCAACAAATTGTTGGATCTTCTTTTTTAATCCATTTTGTCAAACGGTGTCTTTTGATGGGTGAATTAAGTCCATTAACATTAAGTGTTAGTACTGATAGGTATGTGGTGATTCCTGCCATTTAGTTATCTTAGTTGTTTGAAGGTTTGATTGTGTGTACCTAACTTGATGTTACTCTCTACTGTCTTGCTTTTTCTTATCCTGTGGTTTGGTGCTGCCTGCCTTTTCATGGTTAAGTTGGGTGTCACTTTCTGTGTGCAGGATCCCTTGCAGAATCTTTTGTAATGGTGGCTTTGTGGTCACATATTGTTTTAGTTTCTGCTTATCATGGAAGACTTTTATTGCTCCATCTATTTTGAATGATAGCTTTGCTGGGTAGAGTATCCTGGGGTTGAAGTTATTTTCATTCAGTGCCCGGAAGATCTCACCCCACGCTCTTCTTGCTTTTAATGTTTCTGTTGAGAAGTCTGCTGTGATTTTGATGGGTTTACCTTTGTATGTTACTTGTTTTTTCTCTCTTGCAGCCTTCAATATTCTTTCCTTAGTTTCTGAACTTGTTGTTTTAATGATGATATGTCGTGGAGTAGTTCTATTTTGATCTGGTCTGTTTGGTGTCCTGGGGCCTCTTGCATTGTATGGGAATATCTTTCTCTAGATTTGGAAATTTTCCGTTATTATTTTGTTGAATATATTACGCATTCCCTTCGCTTGCACCTCTTCTCCTTCTTCGATGCCCATGATTCTCAAGTTTGGTCTTTTGATGGAGTCAGTGAGTTCTTGCATTTTCTTTTCACAGGTCTTGAGTTGTTTAATTAATAGTTCTTCAGTTTTTCCTTTAATTACCATTTCATCTTCAAGTTCTGAGATTCTGTCTTCTGTTTGTTCTATTCTGCTGGATTGGCCTTCCGTTTTGTTTTGCAGTTCTGTTTCGTTCTTTTTTCTGAGGTTTTCCATATCCTGGCTGTTTTCTTCTTTATTGTTGTCTATTTTTGTCCTGAGTTCATTTATCCATTTATTCATTGTGTTCTCTCTTTCACTTTGGTGTTTATACAGTGCTTCTATGGTTTCCTTTATTTCTTCTTTTGCTTTTTCAAATTCTCTATTTTTATTGTCTTGGAATTTCTTGAGTGTCTCCTGTACATTTTGGTTGACCCTATCCAGTATCATCTCTATAAAATTCTCATTGAGTACTTGTAGTATGTCTTCTTTTAAATTATTCTTGTAGGCTTCATTGGGTCCTTTGGCATAGTTTATCTTCATTTGTTGGAGTCTGGCTCTGAGTTTCTGTTCTCTTCATTCCCCTCTGGTTCCTGTACTAATTTTTTGCTGTGGGGAAACTGGTTTCCTTGTTTTTTCTGTCTTCCTGTCATTGTCCTTGGTGTTGTTACTGTCCCTGTACTGTGTGTAATTAAGTATTTTCTAGCTTGTAATAATAACAATGGTAATATTGAGAATGGAAGAGTGAGCTGAGATGGAAAGCAAGAAGTTAAAGAAAAGGGGAAAACAAATATACAGACAAGAGGGAGAAAGCAGAACAAGGTATCAGACAAGAGAGTTTCAAAGGTATAAACAGGGAGTGTTAGTGTACTAATCGACAGTAAGCTGAACAGACAATAGAGACAGAGAGAGGATTGAAAATCAAAGATAAAAAAATAAAAAATAAGTATATGAAAGTAATATCTATTTATAAAAATGAATTAAAATAAAATGGAAAATAGAAAATTAAAAAAAAAAAAAAACCAAAAACCAAAAAACTTCCAAGTTTATATGCAATGCAATTTCAGTCTTAATAATTTGGATGTCCGTCTCAATCTCCAGTCCTGGAGTTGGTGCCTCAGATGTTGTTCTGTAGTTGTCTCATCAAAGGGGATGCATAAAGTAGAACAAAACTACACACACAGAAGAAAAAAAAAAAAAAGCCCCACCAAGTGTCCCCAGTTCAAATGCAATACAGTTTCAGTAAGTTTTTCGGCTTGCAGGTGTAATTCGGTTGTTCTCTCATCAAAGGTAGGGAGAAAAAGAAAAAAAAAGCGTCTGGAGGCAGTTCTGAGAGTGGTATCTGCAACTGTGGCTTGCCTGCCTGCTGCTCTCAGCCTGTAGCTGGCGGCGTTATTTATGCAGATCTCTGGGTGAGCTTAGCACTCACCTGGTCCCACAGGCTTTGTTTGCTCAGAGTTCTCCTGTGCGGGAGGGGGCCTCTGCTACAGGCTTTCCCTTTCCAAGCACTGGGAAAGGCGACACTGCCCCGCGTTGTCAGGCCTGCGTGTTTATTTACAGTTCACGTGGGAAGTGGGTCCCTCCTCTCACAAGCGTCCCGCTCCTGGTTGCTGGGCGCGCCCCGCTCCCGCCAGAGCCTCTCCGGCCCGCCCGGCCTGTTTATTTACAGTCCCGGGAAGGGTTCCCTTCCCCCAATCTTCAGCGCTCAGGGCGCCCCACCCTCTTTCCAGCGTGTCTTAACTGTTCTTATTGCTTAGTACTCAGTTTCTCTTTTTTTCCCGGGTGGAGGTCAGTCTGTCCAGGGGGCTATGCTGCTCTGGCCCAGGCTTGTCTGTGGGGCTACCGCAGTACCGCGAAGCTCACCTGGTCGCGTCTTCCCAAGCCGTATGGGCGCCGGCCACTGGCGGCCCGGGGGCCTCCTCGTTCTCCGTTTAACGTGAAGTGGAATTCTCTGCGCCGGCTGGAGATGGAGAGTCAAAGTTATCCTTTTCTCGGGTGATTATGCCTGCAAAGTGGTCTCCAGCGTCTTCTCCAAGGATCATATAAGGAGGCCGCTTTCTGCCCTACCGCTAGCTGCATCTTGGAATCTCAATACAATTATACTCTTCAGCTTCAGTTCATCTACTCATTTAAAAGTGGTGTATTTTCATGAGGCAAACTCCATCATGTTCAACACCTGTGATGCTCCAGAGGGTCATTCTGTCTGCCACTCTCCAGTCAAGCTGCCTGTCCTGTGCGTTCCTTCTGTGAGTGCTGCCGCTCTCCGCATTTTTTAATCCACCAAGGTGAAGCAGTAGAGTCCTCAGTGACACTAACATTGGGGTCTTTACCTCATTTGCTAATTTTCTAGTCTGGGAAAGACTTGAGGGCAGCCTATGATGGAGAGAAAGGCAAAACAATTGTCCCATGTTTCATTTTAATCAGAGATTGCTTACTGAACTCCATTATTTGGACAGATTAGTAGTAAATGCTATCAAGTGCTTAAAAAAATGAAAAAACCCAATCCCTGCCATTATGAATACCATAGATACTAAAGAAGGAAGACAAGAATAGAAACATTTAAAGTAACAAGCAGGGTGCAAGGAGCAGCAGATAAGGAGTACAAGGATGCAGATGGTGACTTCATGTCCTTCACAGGATCAGAGAACATCTTGCAGAGAGGACAAGAGTGTCCTGCACGCTGAGTGATGCACAGGATTAAGGCCAAAATGAGAGAAACCACATTTTGGTAGCATACCAGATGGGAAGAGAGTTGAATGTGTTCAAAGAATTAAAGTTGTAGCTTAACATCATTAGATAAAGTGGGAAATATGGATGAAAATCAGACTAGGGTCAGAAAGCAAGGCACCTTTGATGCCAGAATTAATGAATTTTAAGATTATTCTGGTGGCAGCAGAGGATAATAAAAAGTGTAACAAGGAGATGACATGGCCAGTCCAATTTCCAAAAGAGGAACAAGGAAAAAGCAATGAATTAGGAGAGAGTAGAACTGAGATTGGGGGCAGGATGGAGAGGATTACTAAAATTAGGTGACTGTAGACAAGGCAGAGGTCAAGGATGGAGATGGAGAAACCTGTGTACGTGCATGTGTGTGTGTGTGTGTGTTTTAGTAATATTACCACGGAGAGAAGAGTGGAGATTAATACATTCATTTACCCAACAAACACTACATGAATGGGTTCATGAGCATAGGAGAGCTAAAAAAAGAAAGAGTCAACCAAGAAAATCCTAGAAAATTTCCCTGTGCCACAAAACAGAAGAAATTAGGAAACTTTAGTAGAGCCTAATGACTACCCCCTCTCTCTAAGGTAACCCCTCTAACTCTTTCTCAGTAATCTTTAATAATAATAGCCTCTAGACTGCTTGTTTCAGAAAGCATATGTTCACCTTAAATTGTGCTGTTAGCTTATTGGAATGTGTGCTTTATTATATCTTTTCACTACTTTGCACAATAAATAACTAATAATAACTAATGAATGAACAAATGGAGGCATTATCTCCTCCCTCCCCCATCTCTCTCTGTCTCTCTCTCTGTCTCTCTCTCTGTCTCTCTCTCTCTCTCTCTCTCATACACACATACACACAACCACTTTCACTGGCAGCTTTTTCCTTGGAGAAGGAGGAAGACAGGTAGGGGCTGAGCAGAGGTACCAGGAAGAACATCAACCAATTCTTAACTGAACTACCCTAGCTTTCATCTCTAATTTTACTATCCCTACTTCTCCCCTCTTATGTAAGAACAATGCTTGAAGAAATATATGTGAATCCTGAGACATCTGATAAATTGTTGGACTATTCATAGAACCTCTAGCATCAGAATTATTTGGACTAGAAAAGATTCTGTATGTTGCTCTACTCACCTGTTATAAAAAATGACAATGATGACAATGATTAGGATAACAAGCAACAATAAAACAGTCCCTCCAGCCACAAAGGAAATGTGCTGGTTATTGGTTTCACCTAGAAGAAAAAATTATAGTAGGAATTAGGAATGCTACGAAAGTCACAAAAAGAAGTTAGGAACATGAAGACAGGTTATATTAATCCTGATAGAATATCAATTAAATACAAGTATGCCAATAAGAAACAGGACAAGCTAAGGGGAAAAGACAAATTTTCCTTCAGAACCTCCGTAATATTTGACACCTCCAGATTTGTATTAGATCCTTGAGTAAGGTAGATCGACACCTTAAGAAGAACAAGAATTTAAACAGCATATTTTCTTTTTTTGTATTGTTGTTCTGGGTGGGGGTACACTGAGGCATTTACAAAAGTTCTTACAATGTATCAACTATATCATACTTGAATTCACCCCCTCCACCATTCTTTATCCCTCCTCTCCCCCCATTCCTGGCATAGTTTCAACAGGTATCATTTTTCCATTAACATATATGTGTACACAAATTGTACATCTATACCTTCCCATGCCTTTTCCTGACCTGCTCTCCCCTGCCACTGATAACCCACCCCCCCAGGTAGGGCCTGTTCTGCACCCCTGTTTTCTGATTTTGTAAAAGAAAAAAAAGACATTTTTTCTTTGCTTAGATAGCTACACATGGAGTTTCCTTGTGACATTTCCATGTATATATGTATTATAACCTGAATTGGTTCATCTCCATTTTTCGTCTTTCTACTTTAGTCACCTTCTAATAGTGGTTTCAACAGGTTTTAAAATTCTATATTTATTCTTGTATACATCAACCATATTCACCTTCTTAACTTCCTTCTTTTACCCTCCCTTACTTTATGTGACCTCCCCTTAGCACGATCTGTTTTTCAGGATATTGATGTATTTGTATTAGATCTGTATTCCACATAAAAGAGAAAACATGTGGTCTTTGGCATTCTGAACCAGGCTAACTTCACTTAAGATGATGTTCTCCAGTTCCATCCATTTACCTGCAAATGACAACATTTCATTCTTCTTTGTGGCTGAATAAAATTCCACTGTATACAAGTACTATTTTTTTAATCCATTCATTAGTTATGGTGCATCTTGCCTCTTTCCATAGCTTGGCTATTGTGAATAGTGCTGCAATAAACATGGGTTTGCAGGTGCCTTTTAACCTAACTCACTTTCCTATGGGTATATCCCTAGGAAGTAGTATTGCTGGATCATGTGGCAGCTCTATTTTTAGTTACTGTTTTCCATAGTGGTTGTACTAATTTACATTCCCACCAGCAGTGTATGAGGGTTCTTTTTTCCCCACATCCTCACCAACATTTGTTGGTGTTTGTGTTCTTGATAATGGCCATTCTAACAGGAATGGCTGTTAAGATGGAATCTTAGTGTGGTTTTGATTTGCATTTCCTTTATGGCCAGGGATGTTGAGCATTTCTTCATGTGTTTCTCAGCCATTTGGACTCCTCCTTTGAAAAAGCTCTGTTGAGTTCATTTGCTCATTTCTTCATTGGGTCATTAATTTTGGAGGAGTTTAGTCTTTTGAGCTCCCTGCATATTCTGGTTATTAATCCATTGTCAGATGAATAGCTGGCAAAGATTTTCTCCCATTCTGCACACAGCCTCTTCAATTTACAGACCATTTCTTTGTTGTGCAGAAGCTTTATAGTCTCTTGAAGTCCCATTTTTCAATCCTGTCTCTTAATTGCTGAGCCATTTGAGTTCTATTTAGGAAGTCATTGCTTATCCCTATTAATTCCAATGTATTCCCTGCCCTTTCTTGCACTAGCTTCAAAGTTTCAGGTCTTATATTAAGGTCCTTAATGCACTTTGAATTGATACTTGTACAGGGTAAAAGACATGGATCTAGTTTCAGTTTTCTGCATGCAGATACCCAGTTTTCCCAGAAACATGTATGGAGAGGCTGTCTTTTCCCCATTATATGTTTTTGGTTCCTTTGTCAAAGATTAGGTGGGTATAGCTTCATGAATTCATGTCTGGATCTTCTAGTCTGTTCCAATGGTCTTCGCATCTGTTTTTGTGACAGTAGAATGCTTCTTTTTTTTTATTACTGTGACTCTGTAAAATAGTTTGAATTTGGGTATTGTAATACCTCCAGCATTGTTCTTTTTGCTCAATATTGCCTTGGGTATTCACAGTCTTTTGTGCTTCCAAATGAACTTTATAAGGTTGATTTTTCAATCTCTGTGATGTATGTCATTGGAATTTTTATTGCATTGAATATGTAGACTGCTTTTGGTAGTATAGCTATTTTCACAATATTAATTCTACCAATCCATGAACATGGGAGATCTTTCCATCTTCTGTAGTCTTCTTCAATTTCTCTCTTCAGTGGTTTATAGATTTCCTTGGAGAGTTCTTTCACATCATTTGTTAAGTTTATTCTTAGGTATTTTATTTTTTGAGGCTATTGTAAGTGGAATTAGTTTTCTACATTCTTTCTCAGTCTGTTTCATTGTTGGTGAAAGGCTACTGATTTTTTAAGTTAATTTTGTATCCTGTTACTTTGCTAAAGCTGTTTATGGTGTCTAGGAGATCTTGGCGGAATTATTTGGGGCCTTTTAGGTTTAAGATCATGCATCTGCAAATAGGGATACTTGACTACTTCCTTTCCAATTTGTAGTCCTTTTATTTCTTCTTCTTGTCTTTATTGAAGAGCATAATTTCTACTTGGGAAGTTGAAATTGGCAAGATCTTGGTCAATACCAGACCAGGCAAATAGTTTGCAAAATCCCACCTCCAAAAAAAAACAGAGCAAAATGGGCTAGAAGCATGACTCAAGCAGTAGAGTACCTGCTTTCTAAGTGCAAAGCCCTGAGTTCAAACCCCAGTATTGCTCCCCCCACCAAAAAAAGCCTGTTGAAGCATTATTTTAATGAATATTACTCTTTGTGCCTTGTATATTAACTACACTCAACACAAAACAGTATGCAATTTTCATGATTAGTAGAACTTTGTTTCAAAATATTTTCTACTAAATTTGAGTTAATGGTAAAAATAATCAGGAAACATATGTTACTCCAACTCCATGTTGCCTGGAACTTTGCAGCAGTCCAGGAGTCTCTTCCTATCTTTCAGTATTTAGCTGACTGACCTCTAGCACAGTCCTTTCCCTTCTCTGCATGGGTTTCTTATATCTGTCAGTGATGACAATGACCGTGGTTCTAATGACCTCTAATGACCTGGTAAAAATGTAATGAGTCAATATTAAAACTCCTACTAGAGAAATGTCATCTCTGGAGCCTGATTCCAGAAGGTAAGAGACCATTTTATCTTTCTGCTGTGTCCTCCTTCCCCATTGCTGCCTACAGGACTCCTTACTAGGTGCCTTACACTGAGAAGACAAGCAACTCCATCAGTATCTGCTGGTGGTGGGAATGGGACTGAAAGGAAACCCACCCATTGACTGGATTGCCTTCTCTCTTTGGGACAGCAGAGAACAGAGCAAGCTGAAAGGACAGAGCAACTTCCCTCCTTCTCAAAATTGAAGTATGAATGCTTATATCAATTTCCAGGCTATCTAGAATCTAACTGCAATTTGAGAAGCATGCTTTTCAACCGATTCTTACCCACATTTTCTTCAAATTCTTTCTTCCTTTCTAAGTCACTATGTAGCTGAACTTTTTTGTTTTGTAATAAGAACTCAAAGTCTAGACCCATTTGTTCTTTTATAACCTTTGCTGCAAAAGGAAACTAAGACAAATAAAAGACTTTTTATTTTTCCAATTTGTTTAACCTAGATTCCACACATATGTAAGATCAACCATACAGTATTTTTTTCTTTCTGTGTCTGGCTCACTTCATTTAACATATCCCCCACATTCATCCATGTTGTCACAAGTGACAGAACTTCCTTGTTTTGTGTGGCTGAATATTATTCCAGTGTACACATATATGCCACATGTTCTTTATCCTTTCATCTGTTGGTGGACACTTAGGTGGCTTCCATCTGATAACTAATATTTCTCATGAACACAGGGATACAGATATCACTTCAAGATATTGACTTCATTTCCTTTGGATATATATACCCAACAGAAGAATTGCTAGGTTGCATGGTAGTTTTATTTTTAACTTTTTAAACTTCCCTACTGTTTTCTACAATAGCTGGACCAATTTATATTCCCACTAACAGTATATATAGGTTCCTTTTTCTCCAATCTTCACTATCATTTATTACCTCTTGTCTTGTCATCACACTACCCAACATGTGTAGGGTGACATTTCATTGTGGTTTGGGATGATTGTTTTTTGTTTTGTTTTGTTTTGATTTGCTGTGGGGAGGTCAAACTCAGGGTGCTGCATATACTAAGTAAGCATTCTACCCCTGAGCTACATCCTCAGCATCACTGTGGTTTTGATTTTCATTTCCCTGGTTACAAATGACATGGACCATCTTTTTATCCATATATTGGCCAGTTTTATCTTTTCTTTTGCTTATATTTTCATTGGTTACTTGTGGGGGGGGGGGGAATTGCAGTGAAGTCCTGAGACTTACAATGGTGTAGATGAACCCAGAGGACATTGTACCAAGTGAAATAAGCTAGACAGAAAGACAAATACTGCGTCATCTCACTTGTAGGTGAAATCTAAAAAAGTTGAAATCACAGAAGCAGATAGAACAGTGGTTGCCAGGAGCTGAAGGATGCAGAAAGTGGGGAGGGGCTGGGCAAAGGATACAAACTTTCAGTAAGAAGATGAACAAGTTCAGGAATATAATGTTTAGCATGGGTGGGTAAGATGTGTTAATTGATTTGATTGTGGTAATCACTACATGATGGGCTCAAATGGTAGAGCACCTGCCTAGCAAGCGCAAAGCCTGAGTTCAAACCCCAGTATTGCCAAAACAAAAAAAAAAATAAATCTAGATTCAGACTCCCTAAGAATCAAGATAATATTTTTATTAAGCTTTAAACTGTAAGAATTTAGAGGTAGAATCCACTTCAACATATGGCCATTTATATCAAAATGTTCAATTGTAAAGTCAAATTTCAAATGATTCAATTTGAAATAATGCTACCTGTTTTTAACCTCTTCT